TTTTGCTACTGTTGTCCCGTGATATGAGATTAGGTCTCCGGTTGGAGAGAGCTAAGGAAAAGTTAACACAGAGGTTCTCAACCTTCCTAATGCCACGACCCCTTACTACAGTTCCTCATGTTGTGTTGACCCCCAACCATAACAATATTTTCGTTGCTACTTCATAATTGTAATTTTGCTACTGTTGTCCCGTGATATGAGATTAGGTCTCTGATTGGAGAGAGCTAAGGAAACATTAATGCAGTGGTTCTCAACCTTCCTAATGCCGCGACCCCTTAATACAGTTCCTCATGTTGTGCTGACCCCCAAACATAACATTACTTTCATTGCTACTTCGTAATTCTAATTTTGTTACTATTGTCCCGTGGTATGAGATTAGGTCTCTGGTTGGAGAGAGCTAAGGAAAAGTTAATGCAGTGGTTCTTAACCTTCCTAATGCCGCGACCCCTTAATACAGTTCCTCATGTCTTGGTGAACCCCAACCATGATATTATTTTCGTTGCTACTTCGTAATTGTAATCTTGCTACTGTTGCCCCGTGATAAAAAAATTTGGGCTAGTTTGTTAAGTTACACCAGTGGTTCTCAACCTTCCTAATGTCGCAACCCCTTAGTACAGTTCCTTATGTTGTGGTGACCCCCAACCATAAAATTATTTTCATTGCTACTTCATAATTGCAATTTTGCTACTGTTGTCCCGTGATATGAGATTAGGTCTCCGGTTGGAGAGAGCTAAGGAAAAGTTAACACAGAGGTTCTCAACCTTCCTAATGCCACGACCCCTTACTACAGTTCCTCATGTTGTGTTGACCCCCAACCATAACAATATTTTCGTTGCTACTTCATAATTGTAATTTTGCTACTGTTGTCCCGTGATATGAGATTAGGTCTCTGATTGGAGAGAGCTAAGGAAACATTAATGCAGTGGTTCTCAACCTTCCTAATGCCGCGACCCCTTAATACAGTTCCTCATGTTGTGCTGACCCCCAAACATAACATTACTTTCATTGCTACTTCGTAATTCTAATTTTGTTACTATTGTCCCGTGGTATGAGATTAGGTCTCTGGTTGGAGAGAGCTAAGGAAAAGTTAATGCAGTGGTTCTTAACCTTCCTAATGCCGCGACCCCTTAATACAGTTCCTCATGTCTTGGTGAACCCCAACCATGATATTATTTTCGTTGCTACTCATCGTAATTGTAATCTTGCTACTGTTGCCCCGTGATATGAGATTAGGTCTCTGATTGGAGAGAGCTAAGGAAAAGTTAACACAGTGGTTCTCAACCTTCCTAATGTCGCGACCCCTTAATACAGTTTCTCATGTTGTGTTGATCCCCAACCATAACATTATTTTTGTTGCTACTTCGTAATGGTAATTTTGCTACTTTTGATATAAGATTAGGTCTCTGGTTGGAGAGAGCTAAGGGAAAGTTAACACAGTGGTTCTCAACCTTCCTAATTTATTTATTTATTGTGTCATCAGCAACCAGACCATTGTATTACAATTCTAACAGAACAAAACAAACAAACAGATAAAAAAACAAGATTTTGCAACTTGGTAGTTGATTAAATGTCCTTTGACCAGTATCTGGCCACTTGGAGTGCCTCTGGTGTTGCCGCAAGAAGGTCCTCCATTGTGCATGTGGCAGGGCTCAGGTTGCATTGCAGCAGGTGGTCAGTGGTTTGCTCTTCTCCACACTCGCATGTTGTGGATTCCACTTTGTGGCCCCATTTCTGAAGGTTGGCTCTGCATCTCGTGGTGCCAGAGCACAGTCTGTTCAGCGCCTTCCAAGTCGCCCAGTCTTCTGTGTGCCTGTGCCCAGGGGTGTCTCTCATTTGGTATCAGCCATTGGTTGAGGTTCTGGGTTTGAGCCTGCCACTTTTGGACTCTTGCTTGCTGAGGTGTTCCAGCGAGTGTCTCTGTAGATCTAGAAAACTATTTCTTGATTTAAGTCGTTGACGTGCTGGCTGATACCCAAACAGGGGATGAGCTGGAGATGTCTCTGCTTTGGTCCTTTCACTATTGGCTGCTACTTCCCGGCGGATGTCAGGCGGTGCAATACTGGCTAAGCAGTGTAATTTCTCCAGTGGTGTAGGGCGCAGACACCCGTGATAATGCGGCATGTCTCATTAAGAGCCACATCCACTGTTTTAGTGTGGTGAGATGTGTTCCACACTGGGCATGCATACTCAGCAGCAGAGTAGCATAGCGCAAGGGCAGATGTCTTCACTGTGTCTGGTTGTGATCCCCAGGTTGTGCCAGTTCAGCTTTCGTATGATATTGTTTCTAGCACCCACTTTTTGCTTGATGTTCAGGCAGTGCTTCTTGTAGGTCAGAGCACGGTCCAGAGTGACTCCCAGGTATTTGGGTGCGCTGCAATGCTCCAGTGGGATTCCTTCCCAGGTGATCCTCAGAGCTCAGGATGCTTGTCTGTTCTTGAGCATGTCTGTGTTTTAGATGGGTTAGGGATCAGCTGGTTTTCCCTGTAATAGGCAGTAAGAGCACCTAGAGCTTCGGAGAGCTTCTGTTCAACCATCTCAAAGCTCCCTGCTTGAGCGGTAATGGCACGATCATCAGCATAGATGAAGCTCTCTGTCCCTTCTGGCAGTGGCTGGTCATTTGTGTAGATGTTGAACATGGATGGAGCAAGCACGCTCCCCTAAGGCAGGCCGTTCTTCTGTGTCCGCCATCTGCTTCTCTGGCCCTGGAACTCAACAAAGCAACTCCTGTTTTGTAGCAGGTTTCCTATGAGGCGGGTGAGGTGGTCGTCCTTTGTGATATTATACATTTTTCTCAGGAGGAGGCAGTGGTGGTTTACAGTATCATAAGCTGCTGACAGGTCTATGAAGACAGCTCCTGTGATCTGCTGCCTTTCAAAGACATTTGCTGCCTTTGAAAGGCATTTTGCTACTGTTGCCCCATGGTATGAGATTAGGTCTCTGGTTGGAGAGAGCTAAGGAAAAGTTAATGCAGTGGTTCTCAAACTTCCTAATGCCGTGACCTCTTAATACAGTCCCTCATGTTGTGGTGACCCCCAAACATAACATTATTATTGTTCCTACTTCATAATTGTAATTTTGCTACTGTTATGAATCATCATGTAAATATCTGATAAGCAGGATGTATTTTCATTCACTGGACCACATTTGGCACAAATACCCGATACACCCAAATTTGAATACTGGTGGGATTGGGCACGGGTTGATTTTGTAGTTGCTGGGATTTATAGTTCACCTACCATGAAAGAGCATTCTGAACTCCACCAATGATAGAATTGGACCAAATTTCTCATACAGAGACCCCCATGACCAACAGAAAATACTGGAGGGATTTGGTGGGCGTTGACCTTGAGATTGGGAGTTGTAGTTTACCTTCATCCAGAGGGCACTGTAGACTCAAACAATGCTAAATCTGGACCAAACTTGGCAATATGCCCAAATATAAACACTGGTGGAGTTTTGGGGAAAATAGACCTTGACCTTTGAGAGTTGTAGTTGCTGGGATTTATAGTTCACCTAGAATCAAAGAGCATTCTTAACCCCACCAATGATAGAATTGGCCAAACTTCCCACACAGAACTCCCATGGCTAACAGAAAATACTGGAGGGATTTGGGATTAATTGACAGTGATTTGGCGGAGATGTGGTTCACCTACATCCAGAGAGCACTGTGATCCCAAACAACTATGCCAAAGTGATTCCTAAGACAATCAGAAACACCCCCCCCCCCCCAAATTCACATACATGTACTCCATATATTTATACGTAACCTACAGAACCGATATTGTTCATAACTTTGGGAACACCACCTGTACGCAAGTACACACTCATATACATACATACACTCCATATATTCATATACACACACTCCATTTATACATATACATACACACCCCATATATACACATACACACACCACACACACACACACACACAATGTATATACACATACATCCCCCAAGTATTCACATACACGTACTCCATATATATACATACGCACAACACAAACACACACACATATACATAGGCATACCCCATATATGTGTATACACACACCACACACACACACATACATACCTACACCACACACTCCATATGTATATATTAGGGCTGGGTAACCACGGAAAAATTTGTTTCTAAACTCGATTCGTTTTTAGGGGGTTTTTGCATTTCGTTTTTTAAAAGAATTCCGAAATTTTCCTTTAAAAAAGTTTGAAATATACGAAATTTCGTAAAATTATGAAACAATTACGAAATGATTTTGAAACAATTACGAATCGATTCGTTGATGGCGGACGCGATTGCGCAATATGCTAAAAAACCCTCCAAATGGGACAGGGGGAACTTCTGGAGCTTCCCTCTCCCTCTGTTGTTGACTGTTGGTGTGATAATTTATTTTTTATCACTGATAAAACAAACAACAACCCTAAAACTTGCACCAGACATACGGAAATAATTACGAAACAATTACGAAACAATTTCGAAACAATTACGAATCGATTTCGAAACAATTACGAAATAAATTGAAAAAATTCGTTTCGATTTTTAATTACTCCTGCATGGCTCAATATCGGATCGTAAGCTAATTTAAATACGAATTAATAACGAATTACGAAATTAACGAACGAAACCGCCCAACCCTAGTATATATACATACCCCATGCCCCCCCCCCCCACATATATTCATAGCATACACACCACACACACACATATAAACATACACACACCATGGTGGAGTTTCCTTCTTTGGTGGCTTTTAAACAGAGGCTGGATGGGCATCTGTCGAGAGTGCTTTGAATGCAATTTGTCCTGCTTCTTGGCAGAATGAGATTGGACTGGATGGCCCACCAGGTCTTTTCCAACTCTAGGATTCTTTCTATATATAGAGGGGAGGGGTGAGAATCCTAGAATCTATCTATCTATCTATCTTGTCCGTAAGTTGGGGACTGCCTGTATCTAACTTCTCTGAAGATGTTGAGCACCTTCCCTCTTCTTCTCTGCAGGATGATCCCTCCGAGTAGCAAAGCCTTCTTGCTAAAGGACCTGGCTTCCGGCCGCGACTACAACCTGTGCGTCTTGTCTGTTTACGATGATGGCGTCACTGCCCTGACGGCCACCCGGAGCCTCGGCTGTGCCCAGTTCAGCACCCCGCAGGACGGCTTGCAGTGCCACTCGCTCCAGACCCAGTTCCTGGGCGGCACCATGATCATCATCATCGGGGGCATCATCGTGGCCTCCGTCCTGGTCTTCATTATCATCCTCATGATCCGCTACAAGGTCTACAGCGGCCAGGACGAGCAGAAGAAGGCCAAGGTCAGCAACGTCTACTCGCAGACCAACGGCAACCAGCCGGCCTCCTCGTCCTCCGCCGTGCCCTGCTCGGTTTCCAAGCCCGAAGGTTGGGCTGGGGACGGGTCCGCGGCCGTGAGGATCCTCAGGGACTGCAGCGTGGTGGCCCTCAGCAGCAAGGACTGTGAGAAGGGGCCCTGGGCTCCAGGGCCTGAGATGGGGCCCGAAGAGGCACCCTCTCCCCGAAGGAGGAGGAGGTGGTCGCGGACTAATGTCGACCTCCATAACACTTGCCCTGGCTCCGGCCCAGAGACCTCCAGAGCAGAAGAGCAAGGTAATGCAAATGGGGTTGTTGTTGTTGTTCATTCATTCAGTCGTCTCCGACTCTTCGTGACCTCATGGACCAGCCTACGCCAGAGCTCCCTGTCGGCCGTTACCACCCCCAGCTCCCTCAAGGTCAGTCCAGTCACTTCAAGGATGCCATCCATCCATCTTGCCCTTGGTCGGCCCCTCTTCCTTTTGCCTTCCACTTTCCCCAGCATAATTGTCTTCTCTAGCAAATGGGGTAGAGTGTCCCTTTCTCTCGCAAAGTGTCTCTTCACTTGCAAGTACTTTGTAATTTGGATTGCTTTGAGTGTAGTGACCCACTTTGAGTCCCATTTAATAAATAAGTATTATTAATAGTAATAAAACTAATACGTAGTATGATATTAGTACTAATTATTAGTATTATTAATAATTATTAATAATAAGTATTAATAATTATTAATGATACTAATAATTAGTGCTAAGTATTATTAGTATTAGCATTTATACCTTGCTTCCACATTATCTGCTTTATTATTATTATTAATCAGTATCATTAATATTAATAATACTAATACATAGTATGATATTAGTACTAATTATTAGTATTCTTAATAATTATTAAGAATACTAATAATTAGTACTAAGTATTGTTACTATTAGCATTTACACTTCGCTTCTACATTATCTGCTTTATTATTATTAATTAGTATTATTAATACTAATAATACTAATTCTTAATACAATATTACTACTAATTATTAGCATTAGTAATAATTATTAATAATACTACTAATAATTAGTACTAAGTATTATTACTATTAGCATTTACACCTCACTTCTACATTATCTGCTTTATTACTATTAATTAGTATTATTAATAGTAATAAAACTAATTCTTAGTACAATATTACTACTAATTATTAGCATTAGTAATACTAATGCTTCCACATTATCTACTGTATTATTATTAATTATTATTATTAATACTAATAATATTAATTCTTAGTATAATACTACTACTAATTATTAGTATTATTAATAATTATTAATACTAATACTAATAATTAGTACTAAGTATTATTAGTATTAGCATTTACACCTCACTTCTACATTATCTGCTTTATTATTATTAATTAGTATTAATAATATTAATAATACTAATACATAGTATGATATTAGTACTAATTATTAGTATTCTTAATAATTATTAAGAATACTAAAAATTAGTGCTAAGTATTATTATTAGCATTTATACCTCACTTCCACATTATCTACTTTATTATTATTAATTAGTATTATTAATAGTAATAAAACTAATATGTAGTATAATAATAAGTAGAATACTAATAATTAGTACTATTATTAGTATTAGCATTTACACCTCGCTTCCACATTATCTGCTTTATTATTATTAATTAGCATTATTAATACTAATAAAACTAATACATAGTATAATATTAGTTAATTATTACTATTCTTAATAATTATTAATAATACTAATAATTAGTACTAAGTATTATTAGTATTAGCTTTTTTACCTCGCTTCCACATTATCTGCTTTATTATTATTTATTAGTATTATTAATACTAATAATACTAATGATGTAATATTAGTACTAATTATTAGTATTAATAATAATAATTAGTACTAACATTAATTAATAATTAATTAATAATAATACTAATAATTAGTACTAAGTATTATTAGTATTATTAATAATAATAGTACCAATTATTAGTGCTAATACTAATAGTATTAGGGGTAGAGTGTCCCTTCACCTGTAAATAAATGTGTATTATTTTAGTGTGAGCTGCTTTGAGTCTAGTTTACGAGATGAAAGCTGCCTATTAATAATAATAATAACCATCATCATTATCATAGGTAGGGTGTCCCTCTGCTTGCAAATGAATTGGATTTTTGAGAGTAGGATGGACGTTAGATTGGCCGGAGGACCAAATGGGGAAAGTCTTTGAGCCAGAAGGGGTCATTCAAATCATCCGGACATCCCCTGGGCAACGTCCTTGCAGACGGCCAATTCTCTCACAACAGGAGCGACTTGCAGTTTCTCAGGTCGCTCTTGGTACGACAAAAAAAAATTCAGATGCTTCGAGATTTGGTGTTTCATGAAATGTCTTTATGATTAAGGATCTCGTCTCCTACCTTTGATAATGCTGCAAAAGTATTATAGTTTACCACTGTTTGCAAGAGGAGGAAAGAAGGGAAATATCTCCTTCCAAGGCTTGGCCTGCCCTGACCTTACTTGACCTTTGGTTTGGCGCAGATCCTCCACCGATGCCTCCTGCTGGCGAGAGGAAGAACGGCAGCGAATGGACCGACGTCAAGATCTGAGCTCCCTTGAGGGGCCCACGGTGGGACCCCGGCATGGCACGAAGGGAATCCCGAGGTATTTATTCCCCGTTGTGGATAATTTTGGGAAATAATAAGGAGTAACTTGTACTTAACGAAAGGATGCACGTGATGCTTTTGATGTTCAATTTTGTCTTTCCCAAAGGAGCCCAGTGTGAAGAAATGTTTCCAAGCCCCACAAATGAAAGGCGAAGCAATACCACTAATAGATCTCCTTAATAAGGCAGGCTAATATATTAAACAGGCTGTCCTTTGGAGCCTTTGACTTTGATGGTTTCTAAGCAAAGACTGGGTGGCCATCTGTCGGGAGGGTTTGGATGCATTGCAGTGGGGTTAGACTGGATGACCCTTGGGGCCTCTTCCCACCATATGAATTTAGAGTATATGGACACAATTTATAGCATATTTAGACTGATTGCATGCATAACTTTGTGCAGAAACCAATAAGCCATGCGCACTTGCGCAGCTTTCCTGTTTCTGTTGAAAAAATAATATTTTGGGATGGGATTGACCAGGATGCTTTTGCAAAACATAGGCAAAGAAATGGATGTGTCCATCCACACAGGAAGAATTTCCCAGTCGCAAACGTTGCTCCAAAACTGTGCAGAAATCTTTTGGAGTTGTTGTTTGGGGTGGCACCAGTCCTCTTTCGGAGTTGTTGTTTGGGGTGCCACATCATCTTTTGGGGTTGTTGTTTGGGGTGTCACCAGTCCTCTTTCGGAGTTGTTGTTTGGGGTGCCACATCATCTTTTGGGGTTGTTGTTTGGGGTAGCACCAGTCCTCTTTCGGAGTTGTTGTTTGGGGTGCCACATCATCTTTTGGGGTTGTTGTTTGGGGTAGCACCAGTCCCTTTTGGAGTCATTTTTTGGGGTGGCACCAGTCCTCTTTTGGTGTTGTTGTTTGGGGTAGCACCAGTCCCTTTTGGGATTGTTGTTTGGGGTGCTACCTGTCCTCTTTTGGAGCTTTTTTTGGGAGTGCCACCTGTCTTCTTTTGGAGTTGTTGTTTGGGGTGGAACCAGTCCTCTTTTGGAGTTGTTTTTGGGATGGCACCTGTCCTATTTTGGAGTTGTTGTTTGGGCTGCCACCGGTCCTCATTTGGAGTTGTTGTTTGCTGTGCCACCCGTCCTTTATTGGAGTTGTTTGGGGTGGCACCAGTCCTCTTTTGGGGTTGTTGTTTGGGGTGGCACCAGTCCTCTTTTGGTGTTTTTTTGGGGGGGTGGCACCAGTCCTCTTTTGGGGTTGTTTTTTGGGGTGGCACCAGTCCTCTTTTGGAGATGTTGTTTAGGGTGCCACCTGTCCTCTTTTGGTGCTGTTTTTGGGGTGTCACCTGTCCTCTTTTGGAGTTGTTGTTTGGGGTGCCACTGTTCCTCTTCTGGAGTTGTTGTTTGGGGTGCCAACAGTCCTTTGTTGGAGTTGTTGTTTAGGATGGCACCAGACCTCTTTTGGGGTTGTTGTTTGGGGTAGCACCAGCTTTCAGCCTTCTTTGGCTGAAAACTTTGTAAACTTACAACATCTGTAGTTCCATAACACTCAGGGATCACAACTCGAGTGTTCCCAAACTGCATTCATTGTACTGAGGCTCAATCAGAGTAGACACAATGAAGAGTGGGTTGACACATAGGTAAACCCCACTAATGGGTCTATGTATCCAAACTAGGAAGATTGCGAGCACTGGCTTCCAAAGTCTCCCAAAGTGACTGAATCTCTCTCTCTCTCTCTATTTTCTCCATTTGCCTCCTCAGATTGGTGTGTCTGCAAACATCCCCTCCTGCACCTCCTTCTGGTTTCCTGGCCCTGCACTTTGGTGGGTCGAAAGCAGGACCCCCAAACGTCCCAATCGGTGTCGGATCGGGTCCCCCTGCAAGGGTTGTGGCAGGGTTGCCAGGAGGGGACAAAGCAGGAGGATGGAAGGTGAGTTGGGACTTCATGCGGGACACAGAGTAGACGAAAGGTGCTTCATAATAGCCTCGTGATGTCATAAATACTTTTGAAGCATCAAAAGGGTTATTTTATTTTGTTCACAATCATAGTATCAAGAATCATAGAGTTGTAAGAGACCACAAGGGCCATCTAGACCAACCCCTTACCATGCAGGAAAAGCACAATCAAAGTATCCCTGACAGATGGCCATCTTGCCTCATAATCCAGAGATCAATCACAGCTATAAAATATCAATGCAATGTGGTGAAAAACGCATGCCATCTAATGTATTGTTGCAGCCCACTCTATCATGGAGTTTCCTTGCTGCAAATAATAATAATAATAATAATAATAATAATAATAATAATAATAATAATTCTGGGACCCAACAAGTCCAAACATGGAACTGTCAGTCCTGACAAGTGATCCCCGACATCCTGACACTTTCATTTGTAGTGGATTTTAGAAATCCACAAGCTGGACGGGGGACATCCGCAGGAAGTTTATGTTTAATTGACTCTCCTAGATGTGCTGGACCTCATAAGCGGCGATGCGGATATCTGAATGTGCACCCAAGTAGATTTCTTATTATCTCTCCTCACCTTCCTGTAAATTCAAGCTCTGTTTAATTTCATAAACATCAGAACCAAGGAATGCTTGCAGAGAGTTCTTGTTGTAATTGCTTTCCAATTGTGCTTCCATTTTGCCACCTCTTTGTGAGTGGTTCCATTTGTTTACATTCCTGATCATCTGTTTCGGGATTTTAAAACGTAGACATGCACTGGAGCAGTCCACAACAGGGCATAGGAAGGAAGTCACATGGTTTTCTTGAGTACAGGGATAAACAGTCATGCAAATATGTGCATCCTTTGTGCGAAATTGGATTTTAAGTGCAAGAATTCAACACATGTTTCTCAGCTGTCAATGCAAATCACCGCACATTTTCATTGAACGTCATTTAGCTACCCCCTCTTTTATCCCAGTTTCTTCTGATATTTTGGACCTGTGTAGAAGGCCGTAAGACTCCGGGCAATCAGGGTTTGAATCTTTATCCAGCCATGAAAACCGATGGGTTGGCCTTGGGCAAGTCACACTGTCTCAGCCTCAGAGGAAGGCAAAGGCATCGTGAAAGGGACCTTTGAGTCTTGGCTGAACATGAGCCAACAGTGTGATGTGGTGGCAAAAAATGCAGGGTGTTCCATAGCCGAGGGGCCACCACTGAGAAGGCCCTGTCTCTYGTCCCCACCAAACGTACTTGTGACGAAGGCGGGACCGAGAGCAGGGCCTCCCCAGACGATCTTAAAGTTCTCGATGGTTCGTAAGGGGAGATACGTTCAGACAGGTCAATTGGGCAGTGTAGATCCAGCCTAGGCAGGGTGTTCCATAGCCGAGGGGCCACCACTGAGAAGGCCCTGTCTCTCATCCCCACCAAACGTACTTGTGACGAAGGCGGGACCGAGAGCAGGGCCTCCCCAGACGATCTTAAASTTCTTGATGGTTTGTAAGGAGAGATACGTTCAAACAAGTAAATTGGGCAATGTAGATGCTCGATAGCCGAGGGGCCACCACTGAGAAGGCCCTGTCTCTCGTCCCCGCCAAACGAACTTGTGACGAAGGCGGGACCGAGAGCAGGGCCTCCCCAGATGATCTTAAAGTTCTCGATGGTTCGTAAGGGGAGAAATGTTCAGACAGGTAAATTGGGCAGTGTAGATCCAGCCTAGGCAGGGTGTTCCATAGCTGAGGGGCCACCACTGAGAAGGCCCTGTCTTTCGTTCAGACAGGTACATTGGGCCATGTAGATCCAGCCTAGGACACATTGGAGCCATGGATTCAGTTAGCAGGAAAAGAATTCCATCTACACAAGATCAGAGCAATGTTCAGTAGTGGAACATGGAGTCCCCTTCTTTGGATGGCCATCTGTTGGGAGTGCTTTGATGGTGCCTTCCCACCGTTTCATAGCAGTGAGCCGTAGCAGTTCAAGCGGTGTCAAACTGCATTCAGACTGCAATATAGTCGCACCCGTAGCTTTTAATAAGCCGCAAAATTGGCACTGTATATAGGAATACGTGGGAAATGCATAAAAGCTCTTTGGTCCCCAGCTTGTGTTTATTGAAGGAAACTAAACTAGCAATTAGAGGGGAAAAATGGTTGTTATATGGTGTTGCTTCTGGAAATCCACTTTGAGATACAGCAGAAAGGCAAGCTTAACTTCGTTTACATTCCCCCTAAAGCTGGCTGTTTATGGCTGCAGATGCGCCGGGAGCCATAAGGGAGGCATAAAGGAGGAAGGGAGATAACGACACAACCTTTTTGGAGGAAAGAAGAAGGATTGCTATCGATGTGCATCGCAGGCATCGGAATTCATCATTATTTTGTTTCCTCAAAGGAAACAACACATCGTTTTAGCAATTTCCTTTTTAATCAATCCATCACTTCATTTATCTCCAGGCTTTTCCCCAACAGGAGGGTTTGGGCTTTCGAAAAAATACGAGTAAAACTGCATATCGCTCTGACGAAAAAAAAACCTCAAAAGTTAAGATGAAAGAATATTAAACTGCCTATGGAACTGTCACCTATAGAAATAATGGTGATTGACGCCACTTTAATTGCCACGGTTCAGTGCTATGCTATACTGGGAGTTGTCGTTTTGCAAAGTCTATAGCCAAAGGAAGCTGGTACTTTGCAAAACTACGTATCCCGAGATTCTATAGCATTGAGCCAAGGGCAGTTAAAGGAGTGTCGGGCTGGATTAATTCTGTAGTATACATATTTCCATGGTTCGATGCTATGGAATCCTGGGAGTTGTAGTTTTGCAAGGTCTTGAGCCAAAGAAAGTGGGGACCTTGCTAAACTACATATCTCAGGATTCCATAGCATTGAGTCAGTTAAAGGAGTGTCAGGATGGATTCATTCTGCAGTATAGATGTGGCCATGGCTCAATGCTATGGAATCCTTGGAGTTGTAGGTTTGCAAGATCTGTAGCCAAAGGAAGCTGGTACTTTACCAAACTACGTATTCCAAGATTCTTTAGCATTGAGCCAAAGGCACTGAAAGATGTGTCAGACTGTACTAATTCTGCAGTATGGATGCGCCCATGGCTTAATGCTATGGAATCCTCTGAGTTGAAGTTTTGCAAGATCTAAAAGAAGCTGGTACTTTAACAAACTACATATCCCAGGATTCTATAGCATGGAGTGAAGATAGTTAAAGTGGTGTCAGGTTACATACATTCTACAGTGTAGATGAACCCATGGCTCAATGCTATGGAATCCAGGGAGTCGTAGTTTCGCAAGGTCTATAGCCAAAGGAAGCTGGTACTTTATCAAACTACATATCCCAGGATTCTATAGCATTGAGCCAAAGGCAGTTAAAGGTGTGTCAGGCTGCATTAATTCTGCAGTGTAGATGTGGCCGTGGCTCAATGCTATGGAATCCTGGGATAAGTAGTTTTGCAAGGTCTTGGGCCAAATAAAGTGGGGACCTTGCTAAACTACATATCTCAGGATTCTATAGCATTGAGTCAGTCAAAGGAGTGTCGGGCTGGATTAATTCTGCAGTATAGATATGGCCATGGCTCAATGCTATGGAATCCTGGGAGTTGTCATTTTGCAAGGTCTTGAATCAAGAAACCAAGAACCTTGCAAAACTACATATCCCAGGATTCTATAGCATTGAGCCAAAGGCAGTTAAAGGTGTGTCAGACTGTACTAATTCTGCAGTGTAGATGTGCCATGGCTCAATGCTATGGAATCCTGGGAGTTGTAGTTTGGTAAAATACCAGCTTCCTTTGGCTATAGACCTTGCAAAACTACAAGGAAGCTGGTACTTTACCAACCACATATCCCAGTATTCTACAGCATTAAGCCAAAAGCAGTTAAAGGAGTGTCAGGCTATATTAATTCTGCAGTGTAGATATGCCCATGGCTTAATGCTATGGAATCCTTGGAGTTGTAGGTTTGCAAGATCTGTAGCCAAAGGAAGCTGGTACTTTACCAAACTACATATTCCAAGATTCTTTAGCATTGAGCCAAAGGCACTGAAAGATGTGTCAGGCTGCATTAATTCTGCAGTGTAGATGTGCCATGGCTCAATGCTATGGAATCCAGGGAGTCGTAGTTTCGCAAGGTCTATAGCCAAAGGAAGCTGGTACTTTATCAAACTACCTATCCTGGGATTCTATAGCATTGAGTGAAGATAATTAGAGTAGTGTCAGGCTACAGTAATTCTACAGTGTAGATGTGCCCATGGCTCAATGCTATGGAATCCTAGGAGTTGTAGTTTTGCAAGGTCTATACTATCTATAGCCAAAGGAAGCTGGTACTTTACCAAACTACATATCCCAGGATTCTATAACATTGTGCCATGACAGTTAAAGTTATGTCAAGCTACATTACAGTGTAGATGGGTCCTTGGCTCAATGCTATGGAATATTGGGAGTTGTAGTTTCACAAGGTCTTTTTTGGCAGAGAAGCACAAAAACTATAGTGTCAGGCTACATTAATCCTACCGTGTAGATGTGCCCATGGCTCAATACTATGGATTCCTAGGAGTTGTAGTTTCACAAGGTCTATAGCCAAAAGAAGCTAGACTTTACCAAACTACCTATCCCAGGGTTCTGTAGCATTGAGTGAAGACAGTTAAAGTAGTGTCAGGTTACATCCATTCTACAATGTAGAGGAGCCCATGGCTCAATGCTATGGAATCCAGGGAGTTGTAGTTTTGCAAGGTCTATAGCCAAAGGAAGCTGGTACTTTACCAAACTAGATATCCCAGGATTCTATAACATTGTTCCATAACATTGTGCCATTACAGTTAAAATTGTGTCAAGCTACATTAAAGTGTAGATGGTTCCTTGGCTCAATGCTATGGAATATTGGGAGTTGTAGTTTCACAAGGTCTTTTTTGTCAGAGAAGTGCAAACTACAACTCCCAGGAGTCCATAGCATTGAGCCAAGGCAGTCAACGTCGTTCCAAACTTCATTTACACTCAGTACTAAAATCTGAATTTTTTTGTGTGCCTGCCTGGTGTGAAAGTGTTATTTCCTGTTTAATTGTGCGGTTCTTACTTTGAAAGTAGTTGTTCCACTCCAGAAGCTTTGTTTTTGCGGCTGCCACAAACTATGTGGAATTGGTCGAGGCACGATGAGATAGCCCTTGAAAAACTATAGCAAAATGTGCTGCAGGATGTCGTTCCCGCAAAAACAAAGTTTTGGTAGTTTAATAAACTTTCCCCATGTGTTTATGATAGAAGCAATTGGGAAATGGCATTGATAATCCAGGAACAATTGTATAATCCAGTGTTTCGCAACCTGGGGGTCGGTACCCCTGAGGGCGTCATGAGGGGGTGTCAAAAGGGTCGCCAACATGTTGCCCATGTGGATTCTGTGAGGGAAGTTTGACCCAATTCTATTGTTGGTCCAGTTCAGAATGCTCTTTGGTTATAAGTGAACTATAAATCCCAGCAACTACAACTCCCAAATGTCAAGGTCTATTTTCCCCAAACTCCACCAGTGTTCACATTTGGGCATATTGAGTATTCGTGCCAAGTTTGGTCCAGATCCATCATAGTCTGAGTCCACAGTGCTCTCTGGATGTAGGTGAACTACAACTCCCAAACTCAAGGTCAATGCCCACCAAACCCTTCTAGTGTTTTTTGTTGGTCGTGGGAGTTCTGTGTGCCAAGTTTGGTCCAATTCTATTGTTGGTGGAGTTCAGAAGTCCATTGTAGGTGAACTATACATCCCAGCAACTACAACTCCCAATGACAAATCAATCCTCCCCCAACCACACTAGCATT